CCAACCCAAAAAAAAAAAAAAAAAAAAAGTAGGGTCATGAGATCCTGAGTACTATTGAATGTGTTTTCTTTGAAGAGCAGGGTGTGGAGACCAAAGAGCAAAAAGTAAAAAGGCTGGCTTCTTGTGGTCACTCCAATGCCCACTCCCATACCTTGTCTCCAACTCACTTTTTCTGTCACCAGCTAGCTGCTCCCTTGAACATGATCACCCACTCACCTGAGCTCCTGGATACCCTCTTCTTCATACACATGCATAGGCAGATTAGCACAAACCTGTGCATGTTACTTGCATGTCACAGATCAGTGTATATGTCAGTATACAGACAGGTACTCCCACACCTGAGCATTCATAGGAAGAGGTGAGTGGATGGATGCTGGAGTTTGGGACAGGCTGGCAGGCCAGTTGGCTAGGTGAGGGGACGGCTAGGTTCGTGAGGGAGTGAACGTGCAGGTGTCAAAGGATTGTACAGGTGACGCAAAGTATGTGTGCGGGGAAGACTGAGAGGGCAGTCACAGGGAAGAAGGTGAGCTTCCTGATGGTGAGGGTGGGTGTCCAGCGAGTGGTACATATGAGATCATTGCAAAGCCATTGGGGCATGCTGGCTGACACCTGAAGAAGAGCTTTCCAAACCAGCGCTGTTCTCTACTGAATGCTTTCAGCTTCTGTTAGGGCATTTGTACTTTTTATTTCTCTAGAAATCAGCTCCAGTTTGGTTTTTACCAATCGCCAGAGCCCTCTCTGGAGATGCCAGTTGGCACAAGAAAGTGCTGAACTGTTTACAGTCCCAGCCTAAGGTTCAGGGAGGGGATGTGGTTTAACTGGGCCACAAAGCCCGGTACAGGACTCATTTGCATGGCCCCTGACGCCATGTGACGCAGCCGACTCCTCCTATATAAAGAAGCAGGAGCCAAAATATCTCCGAGTCTGGGTTGGACTGGCGGCCGCGGAGTTTGTGACACACTAGGTGACACCCCTCGAGTCACTTCCCTTCGACTCCAGCTGGAGCGCCTGCCTGGCTTTGGGTCCGTTCGGCAGCCTTCGCCCCCCTCCTAGACTCAGGGCCGGACTCCGGCGCAAAGCCCAGCCCAGTGCAGCCGCCAGCAGCAGCAGCGCAGCCGCCCAGCCCGCCCAGCGCGGCAGAACTCCCCGGCAGCCCCAGCCATGAACACCGAAATGTATCAGACCCCTATGGAGGTGGCGGTCTATCAGCTGCACAATTTCTCCATCTCCTTCTTCTCTTCCCTGCTTGGAGGGGATGTGGTGTCCGTTAAGCTGGATAACAGGTAACCATCGGCCCCAGCTTCTGCGCCTCACCAAGCCAGGGCGCCTAGGGGGTGGAGGGAGGCTGGGCTCCGAGCCGGATCTCGGAGCGAGCCGTGCGCCGCCGGTCCCCGATCCCCGCGGTGCAGCATCCTGGGAAGGGGCGGGGGGTAAGGGACGCAGGAAGGGGGGGTCACCGCCGCTCCAGGATCCGTCGTCGGAGCGTCCCCGCGGTCGCTGCGCGCTGAAAACCAGCTGCTGCAGCCGCGGAGGCAGCCGGAGGCAGAGAGGCGGCGGGTAGGAGCGAGCAGGGGCTGGCCTGGCGCCGTTCGGAAGCAGGCCGGAAGCTTCCCAGCCTAGAAGGGATTCCTAACTAGCTGCACAGCCGGGTAGGTTTGCCTGGGACCTTCTGGGCCGCCGCCGGGGGCCTCCCTGGGCCACGCGCCCCCATTGTTCGCAAATCGCCGGAGCAGGCCATGTAGGCCCATGTGCCCAGGGACCCGCGTGCCGCTCCGAATGGTTGGAACTCAGGGCGGCGGCGGCGCAGAACCAGCTTCGATGAGGAGGCGCAGCTTCCTGCAGGGGCCAGGGAGGAACCCGGAGCAAAACTGTCCGGAACTCCGCGTCAGGGAGACGGGAGAAAGGAAGAGCTGGGGCGGATGGAGGGCTTCGGCCGCAGCCACCGGGTACCCAGTGGAATCGAGTGGGTAACGGGTCGCTTTGCTTTTTGTCTTGGCAGTGCCTCCGGAGCCAGCGTGGTGGCCATAGACAACAAGATCGAGCAGGCCATGGTGAGTGGCATCACTGCGTCATTCCCATCCCCGGACTTAGCTACTGCTTATGTAACTCCTGGCAGGACTGAGGGGTGGGAGCAAAAGCCGTTAGCCAAAAGCCTGAGGAAGCCGACAGCCTGTTTCCTATCCTCCCTGCAGGCCTTAGGCCGAGTCTGATTAGAGAGGCACATTTTAGGCCATTTCCAGTCCTCCCTTGCTAGGTTCCCTCCTTTCTATCTCCTTCCTCCATCTCAGGGTTTTACACCAACCTATGGCTCCCTCCTGGGCCTCTGCAGGGCAGGGAGCTCAGACTCTTCTTGCATATGTCTGCATCCCGCAGTTGGCAGGGGGCAGAGCTCATTGGATGCAACTGCACTGCAGTGCCTCTGCAGAGCCTGGGCTGGGGTCAGGAGTTGGGAGGAAACGGGAAGCAAAGTACCTCACCCTTTCTCCCTCTTCCTACCAGGTAGAAGTCATGCTCCAATGAGCAGCCAGATGACTGCAGGGGGTTGGGACATTAGGGGTTAGAGGCTACTTAATTGTGTCCTAGAGCCTAAGGACACATTCCCTTCCTCCAGTACAGTCATCATCAGATTCAGACAGGATGTAGCATTCCCCATACCTTTCCCCAGGGCCAGTGACCTGTGTGGCCAGGCTGCAAGACAGTTTGCATCTCAGTGTACTGGGCTATATGGAGAGGTGGAGACACCAAAACAGCCAATTGGTGAAGATTTGTAAAGCAGACAGACAGTATGGGTGCAGTGCGGGTTCCCACCTACCCTCCGAATCTGGGTCAGCAGCAGCAGGGTCTTCTGTGGAAAGGAGGACATAGCAAAGCACCGGCAACCGGCAGAAGTCTCACTCCAAAGGCCCTTAAGCAGCGAGCTCTGAAAGTCATTAGGCATTTTCCGGGGGAGCCTATCTATTTCAAAGCTGGCACCCGACTCCGGCATGGCCCACATCACATAGCTCTCCTGAGTGAGGGCTTCAGTGCTTTAGAGAAAGGTGCATGAGGAGGAAATGGGCTGCAGGCCCGGCCTGCCGAGAAAAGGCTAGAGGGCGGTGGCAGGAGGGACAGCATAGGCACACCCATGGCAGGATGCAGGTGTTGCGGAGGGGCTGTGATGGCTAAGGAGGGGTTTTGCTGTGGTTCCCTCGGTGGCAGGACCTGGTGAAAAATCATCTGATGTATGCTGTGAGAGAGGAGGTGGAGATCCTGAAGGAGCAGATCCGAGAGCTGGTGGAGAAGAACTCCCAGCTGGAGCGTGAGAACACCCTCTTGAAGACCCTGGCCAGCCCGGAGCAACTGGAGAAGTTCCAGTCCCGTCTAAGCCCCGAAGAGCCTGCTCCTGAATCCCCAGATGCACCCGAGGCCCCTGGTGGTTCTGCGGTGTAAGTGGCTCTGTCCTCAGGGTGGGCAGAGCCACTAAACTTGTTCTACCTAGTTCTTTCCAGTTTGTTTTTGGCTCCCCAAGCGTCATCTCACGTGGAGAACTTTACACCTAGCATAGCTGGTGCCAAGAGATGTCCCAAGGACATGGCCACCTGGGTCCACTCCAGTGACAGACCCCTGACAAAGAGCAGGTCTCTGGAGGCTGCGTTGCATGGGGCCTAGCAACCCCAAGCCAGTGAGCCTATAATGCTACCGCGCCCTGGGGGCTCCCAGGGCCTGAGCAACTTAGCTTCAACTGGCAAAGGAGAAGGGTAGTTTGAGATGTGACGCCAGTTTGCTCCAGAAAGTATAAGGGGTCTGTTTCTCATTTCCACGGACATCTTCAACAGCTTCACCTGACAATGACTGTTCCTATGAAGAAGCCACTTGTGTTTTAAGCAGAGGCAACCTCTCTCTTCTGCCCTGCCTCACGAAGGTAGGGTGCACAACTGGGAGAGATTGAGCCAAGTCAGCCTTCTGTTGGTTAATATGGTATAATGCATGGCTTTGTGCACAGCCCAGTGTGGGATTACAGCTTTGGGATGACCGCTTACAAAGTTCTGTTTGGTTAGTATTGGCATAGTTTTTCTATATAGCCATAAATGCGTATATATACCCATAGGGCTAGACCTGTATCTTAGTGTAGCGATGTATACATATACACATCCACCTACATGTTGAAGGGCCTAACCAGCTTCGGGAGTATTGACTGGTCCCTTATCTCTTAAGGCTAGTTCTTTGACTGTGTTCATCTACCAAGTTGATCCAGTTTGTCTTTTAGGTTAAATAAGACTCAAGAGTAAAGACAGGGAGGGGGGCCAGCCTCTGAATATGGTCACAGATGCCTTGCTGCTGCAACCCTTTCCCCAGCTGGCCACTGAAGACACATGAAGTCCTTTTTTGAATGCCAAACCCACCATTCACTGGTGCTGACTACATAGAATGGGGTTGAGGGAAGATCAGCTTGGACTTCACAGTGTTGTTTAAAAACTTTTAAAAAAAAAATTCTTATAGAAAACTTTCAAGTAAACAGAAGGATTGTGTCCTACTGTGAATGAGCGATGGAGAAGGGAATGGCTTTGTTCAGATGGAGCCTGGGCGATGTACCCAGGGAGCTTGTCTCTAGGGGATTCCGTGACAGTGAACACTTTCCACTTTCTGACACCTTATCCTGATGTATGTCTCCAGGATTTGGATTTGGATTTTTCAAATGTAGCTTGAAGTTTCAATAAACTTTGCTCTTTTTTTTCTAAAAATAAATTTGGTGTCTGACTGAGTATAAAAGGATTTGGGTGGGAGAGGCCCCTCCCCTGGTGGGGAGGCCTGTTTTTCTGACTCACCGAACTTCTGTTAAGCACCACCTAAGTACCAGACCTATGTTACATCCATGATTTTGTGTCATCTACACAATACCCATACAAAAGATATGCTCTCTCCCCTGTCTTTTGGGGAGTATCCCTTACTGTCCGGGTAAGGAAGCTGAGACTCCGGGCATTTAGGCGACTGGTCCAAAGTCGCATGGCTATGATGCAAATCAAGCCCACATTCTTCCTTCTCTGTCTTGCTCCCATCTTCATATGACAGCTTCAGAATGAGTGATGAGGTGACTAATAACACGTAACCTCAGCTGGAGGAGGAGATTTAGGAGGAAGGACATCCTAAGGAGGCCCAAAGAAAACGGTATACATATGACATAGCCAGAAGAGAGAACCCAAATAAAGCTGAGTGCCCTCTCTCCTCTTTTGAAAACATCAGAATCAACTGATGCTGCCTCCCTAATACTAATCCATATGTGACCTTGACCTTGGTAAAGCTGCTAATAAAGTCTCAGTGAGAAAAGGAGGGAGAATGTATGAGGTGACAAGACCACGGCCCCCTCTGCTCTGATCTTTGCTTCCCCGATCTCCCTCCTAACCCCCACCCCATTCAAGGAAAGATGCCCTCAATCCCTGCTGCTCCACTGTCACTGCTGAAAGTTCTCTCACAAAATCCACCAGCCACATGGGCAGGGCCACATCTAAGGCTCTTGCCTCCAGCTTCCCTCCTCTACCTCTCCTTGGGGTTCATTATCACCCATCACTATTTTCTAGTCCCATGTCCCCAGCATCCGGAGTCCTGCCATTTCTCTGATTGGTTGTTGATAAGCACTCAGTGTCTCCTCTACCACATCCTGACCTGAACCCACTCTGGACCCTGATCTGTGTTCTAAGTCCACTGTGTTCCCAAAGGAGACTTCACCCTTCTTTAAGTGACTCCATTCAATCTCAGCTTCCTGTAGCACATATCCCTATCCTTTTGCCACTTGAAATTGAACAGAACTCCTTGATTTCCTAAGCCACAAACCTCAAGGTGACCAGGATGTCTTGGCCGCCTCCCTTGTGCCAATCACTGCCCAAATGTAATCAAAATGGCATGCTTCCTCCTCTGTAAAGTTCAAGCATGTTGGTCTGTTCTTTTCTAATCACCAAAATCCTTCTTTAGAACATTGCAAATCCCTGCATGCTGGTCTCTCAAATCCCAATTTTCCCACCTTCTCCCAACCTTACTATTCATTGTCTACACCTACCAATTTGGTCATGGCATGCAAATTTCACAGCTACTGGTACAGATACAAGCTTTGAACAGTACATTCAAAGTCCCCTGGCTGCCATTCCTCACCCAGATGAGATTTCCCAATCCCCACTTACTCCCATACTCCTCCCCCTTTCAAAACAAGCCCAGAGACTTTGTGTGTGACTATTCAGTTAATCTTCTGTAGACGTCCCACACCCAGTTTCCAACTGAATAAGAACAAGCAGATGAAAAAAGAAACACAGAAAATAGCCCAGCAACACCTCAAACCTCTCTGGTCATCAAGTCTTTCTCTACAAAAAAGGGGAAAAAAACTGGCCTCACAATCACAGTGGTAAGAGAGAACAACTTTGTTTCCTAGGCAACGCTGACTAAACAGAGACAAACACTGCAATTTCTGAGGCCACAGCGGTTACTAGACTAGATAAGAGGAACTTTGTAGATGTTTATTAGTCACATACAGGAGCAGCTCTTTCTTGTTGCTGTCCCACATAAAACCACCTAAAGGTGAAGAAAGGCAAAATAACACATTGCTTCTGGAAAGACTTTCTTGGGCTTTGGGGTTCTGGCCTCAGCTGGTTCAACTGGACCAGAACAAGGAAAAGAACAAGGCCTCCAGCAGTAATCATACCCTGCCTGTGTATGTCACCTCTCCATGTGCCCTTCCTACCGATGATTTCATCTCATCCTCAAGGTAGCTCTCCTAGCACAGCAACAAGGAACAAGAGCACTGCTCCGTGCCCCGCTCCTGAGTTCAGAACATTCTGTTTCCTGCCTTTAGAAAAAGAGGCAGTTATTATTTATCTCCATTTAACAGACAAGAAAACTGAGAGCCAGAGGACTCAGTGTTCTCCCTGAGGCTTCCACCATGGGGCAGTGGGGCAGTGGTTCCCAACCTTAGTGGCAACAAGGGTTCTTTGAAATGTCAAAAATATTTTCAGACCTCCCCCAACTTGATAGTAGTTGAACTTTAAGTATTTTTTGAGAGAGAGAGAGAGAGAGAGAGAGAGCGAGAGAGCACATAACGACATTCACTGACTGAATTTAGCAGGCTTTTTTGTATTCACCATAAAATTACAGATGTGGATGTGAAAACCAGAACAGTAATGTATATGTTACTTATCTAGATTCAACCATTCCACAATGTATAAATATTTCAAAGCATCATGTTGTACACATATATGTATATACTTTTATACATTTTTAATAGATGTACATTTTTATACATTTAAAAGAGAAAACTAGAACAGAAATATTTACAGACAAGAACTGCTTAGGGGCACAGGGTGTGAGGCTCTCAGTCTGGGGACAACCACAGAGGAAGGCGCTCCTGGGAAGGCCTCGAGAAGGAAGCCAGGGAGTGAGTAGATGAGAAAGCAGGGCCACTGGGACCTGCACCTGGAGTGCAGAGAGAAGGATCATAGGAAGAAGATGTATGATCCTCTGTCCCTTATGGCATTTTGAAGTTATCCTAACATCGTCCTATTTATTCTAGAAAATCTTGCTTTCAACTCTCACCTCTTCCTCCTAATTGGTTAGAAATTAATGGGCATAATTAGAGTGTTGTAGACAGCCCAGTTTTTTAGGTTATCTCATGCAGTTCCTCAGGTTAGCTCATTGAAACTCAAATACTTAATACTTAACCACCTCCACTAGATCAGGCAAGGTTTAACAGAAAACTCCATCAATTTGCTATTCCAAGCAGAAATGGTTTCCAGGGAGGAGCTGGCTGAAAGGGGCAATGATCATAATAATTAATAATAATAGCTAACACATGGCACTTTCTTTATGCCAGATACTGTTCTAAGCCCTGTTAAATCTGCTGACACTTAATCCTCTCTACAAATGTTTGAGGTATGTCCTATTGAGATATCCATTTTAAAGATGAGAAAATGATGCCAGGCTCGGTGGCTCAGCCTGTAATCCCGCGCCTTTGGGAGGTTGAGGTGAGTGGATTGCCTGAGCCCGCGGGTTCAAGACCTGCCTGGGCAGCGAGACCTCATCTCTACAATAAATCAAAAAATCAGCCGGGCGTGGTAGCGCATGCCTGTAATTCCGGCTATTTGGAAGGCTGAGGCGGAAGGATTGCCGGAGCCCAGCAGGTTGAGGCTGCGGTGGCTGGAAGCGGCCACTGCACTCCAGTATGGGCGACAGAGTGAGATTCCAACTCAAAAAAAAAAAAAAAAAAGATAAGAAAATGAAAACACTAAGGCACAGAGAAGTTAAGCCACTTGTCCCAAATCATACAACTAGTGAATTACAAAGCCCACATTTGGGGAAGGAGATGGATACACTGAGAAGTAAGATAGAGAATCTGAGTGTTTTTAATAATTCCTTCCATGTAACCAGAAGTGTTCCAGGGCTGGTGATGGAAGTGAGGGGTAGAAAAAAGACCACCTCCAACTAGAAGAAGGACTAACAAGAAAAAACATGACTAATGAGCCTGGGGGGGTGGGAGTGAGGAGAGAAGAAGGAAGGGGGGGTGGGAGGCTAACGTGACTGGTTTCCAGTCAAATGACCTTAGATAGGCTCTAATAGGTCTCAGGGAGCCACGGTAGGCTTCTGAGCAGGGAAGTGATGTGATGCAAAAGATATTTATAAAAGATGGGTCCTGGCAGCTGGAGAGGCTGGGACAGGGAAAAGCTAACAGCAGGCCAGCTGTTACTGTAATCCAGGTGTGAGGTGATGAGGGCCAGCCGGGGAGGGATAGGGGTCTTAGAAGGGAGAGAGGAAGGGACAAAACCAAAAGACACTGAAAGGCAATATTTCTCTAAGTGCAATCGGCAGTTCACACACATCAGGTTTGTTGGGAAATCGAAAAGATAGATTCTAGGCCAGCTGCGGTGGCTCATGCCTGTCATCTCAGCACTTTGGAAGGATGAGGTAAGAGGATGGTTTCAGGAGTTCAAGACCAGCTTGGGCAACATAGTGAGACCTCATCTTTATACATTTAAAAAAAATGTTTAGCCAGGCAACATGGTGGTGTGCACCTGTAGTCCCAGCTACAACTCTAACAAGTCCCTAATGATGCTGGGGTATAGGGAAACTCCAATAGAAGAAAAGTCAGCATGACCTGGTGGCAAAGTGAGTCGGGAGAAGGCTAAGTAGGTAGCCATAGGATGACATGAAATTTTCTGTTTGGGTTTTTTTTTTTTCATTGTGGCAAAATATACATAACACAGAATTTGCCATCTTAACCGGTTTCAAGTGTAAAGCTCAGTGGCATTAAGTATATTCACGTTATTGTGTAGCCATCACCACCATCCATTTCCAGGACTTTGTCATCGTCCCCAACTGGCACTCTGTACCATTAAACACCAACACCTGACTCCCCCCAGCGATGTGGAAGTTTGAATTGGGAGGATTGGAGACTTTGAAAGCACTGAAAGAAACAGGGGTAGGAAAAGGTTGCAGTTTGCAGAGGGAAGATAAATTCCAATTTTGATTTCCAGTTAAGCGAGGCATATTTACATATGGAAATATCCCATAGCCAGTTGTGAAAAGAGACATGTAAAGTCAGGGGCTGCAGCGCAAGATGTGGGCATGCCTGTGTGCAGGAGCTGAAGTTGTGTGAGTGAACACACATCCCAGAGAAGTGGCTGCAGAGGATGATGAGCAGGAGGCCCAGAGCTGAGCCTGGAAGGCTGTCCCCAGGGAGGCTGTGCGTGCCAGGGAGCAGGTAGACAGGC